GCGCGGGGGCTTCAGTCCTGGAGCACGGCGGACGCGCGCAGCCCGAGCCGCGGGGAAGCCCGGCGTGCTGCAGTTTGCAGCCCCTCTCCGCAGGGGCGCCGCGGCGCGCAGCCTGCGCCTCTCCCCACCTGCAGCCCCTCCTCCCGCCGCGGCCGGGCGATAAAACGCGCGTCCTCGCCCTTCCTCGGCCTCTTCGGGGCCTTCCGTCCCGGGCTCCTCGCCCCGCATCCCCTCTTCCCCCTCCACCCCTTCCCCCTCGTCCTCCTGCTCCCCGACCCCCCTTCCGGCCTCCCATTCATTCCGTCTGCACCCCCCCCTCTTCCCGCTGGGCCCTCTCCCCCAGAGCCTCCCCGCGTGGACCCCGCTGCCGTCTTGGGGGTTTTAGCACATTCATGGAAGTTTAGGGCCTGGACGGTGCCCCCAGGTCCGGCCTGAGAGCGCAGCGCGGGCTGCTGGCTGGGAAGAGGAAGATGTCTGTGCTCAGGCGGATGATGCGGGTCTCCAATCGCTCCCTCCTCGCCTTCATCTTCTTCTTCTCCCTCTCCTCGTCTTGTCTCTACTTCATCTACGTGGCTCCGGGTATCGGTAAGCACCGAGACACACCCTCACTTCCCACGGTCACAGTGAAGGAAAAGCAGGATGTTACTTATGGCATTTGGAAGCTGTATAAACAGGGGCCCGGCAGAAAGCATTTTACTTGAAATGTTATGTCAGAGGTGTCAGATAAACTGCGTCGGGCAGTTTGGTTAATTCACGTTTAGATAACTTAAAGACTGCATTAAATGGGCAGAGCGGAATTAGGTATCGGCTGGGCCGTGGTCGCTTTGTTGAGTATTCATGACAGCTTTAGCCCTTTAATATCAAGTCTTGAAGCTTAAACTTAGTGCTTAATCGTAGTTTTATTCCAACACCCTCAGATATAATAACTGGTTGTAAAAAATGATGGAGAAACCAACAGCAGGGAATGTGATTGACTTCAAGAATGTACATATTCTAGTGTTCTAGGTCACTTTAGAATGGGGTCAGTGAACATTTGTGCCACACTTCAGGAATTTTTAGGCAATGAGTTGTCTTGTAAAAACAATGCTCCATTATTTAGGCTGCTTCTGTCTGCTTTTCAAGGGTAGGTACCCTCTGCTACCTTTTAGGATGACTTTTGAGATAAAATAATGATTAAAATAACAATTATGCAAGATAGTTTAAAATTTGAACCTACTTATCATTTTTTGGCTTTTGGTCCAAAATATGCTTTTGTGTAATCTGCTTGAATTAGCTTCTTTGTTAAATATCCTAATTCCTCAGCACCATTTGGTTGAAAGGTGCTAGTGTGGCATTCTAATGAATAAAAATAGGAACTTCATAAGGATATTAAAACACTTGGTTTTACACATTCCCAAGACTTTTCTGAGTTTTCCTTGGTTATTACGTATTTAATGTTCAATTACCTAGTAACAGTGTGCGTCTCCTATCATTTCTTATTAGACACTAGTAGTCTTTTGAGCCAGTGCCACTTCTCCCCCGAGTTGACGAAAAATGTGTGGCCTCTTAGAGAATGAAAACACCTGCAGAATTTTGAGTTGGAATTATCATCAGGGCATTGTCTTGTGTGTTAATAGGTTATTGTAATGAATTGCAGGGGGGAAGGAAGAAGCAAACCTCATCAAACCTCATTGAGACCATTTTATTTCCTAAAACAAAATTACTATGTGACTTTTTTTGGTCTAAATTTTTTGATTCAAGTAAGATGTGTAAGCTCAGATAATGATGCTTGAGAAGACATAAATTGTTGAAGTCTTGATGTATCCCAAAATAGAAGTTTGAGGTGAAAATTTGAAGAAGTATTAATATTTTAACATGTTATTTTCTTTTAATGCAGTTTTTTCTTTAGGGTAAATAAAATACCTCTTGAAACCTATATTAGAAATGACAGTGATACCTCAATGGATTTGGAGTAGTTAGCCAAAATATTAAGCTGGCTTTTCTTAAAATCCTCTGCCATTTTGGAAGTCTTATAAATTAACTCCTCCTTCTACAGCAGTTTTTCCTTTCTCATGTGTCTCTTTAAAGGTTGGACGTCTTTGGGCGATATTATTTTATCAGACATTTGACTTTGGGAGATTTTGGAGAAAGAGTTTTTTTGCTCTTAAATAACAGTTTTCTTACTTCTTTGGTATTTTGAGTAACATGTTAAAGTTATGTTATTCAAAAAGCTAACCAAAGGAAATCAGAATCCCAGCTTTTGTTTGATAGTCATCCATTTTTTTGTTAGTGCATTAGTATATCTATAGATTCTTAAAATTCAAGTGATAAGAAATACTAATACATTTTTCTTATTTGTATGCTTAATGTTTGCCATAGAACAATCATTGATATGTCTAAAATTTGGCAGTTGTCTTACAGGCAGTTAGGTTGATGTGGTTTAAACTACTCTGTTTCTGTGGGTCTCTTATAATTTATAACTTAAAAAAATTGATTAAAGCCAGTAAGAAGAATGAAAACCAAAACTTATAAAGTGTTGTCAATTTGTGAAACTGAATCGTTTCCCAAACCCAGTATTATTTAGCAGCAAAGGAAAGAAAAAAAAAGAAACCTCCTAATTTATCTTTTAATCATTGGGAAGCGTTTTCCAAAATTCCCGTTTTTGCTGGAAAGCTCGAATTTTAGCATTGGCAACAAATACTGTCAGTTTCTCTTAAAGGGTCAGGCTCACTTTGTTCATTTTTGGGAAAATGTAGGTCAAATACAGAAGTCTAAATAACCATAGTTTGTCAGTTCTTTCAAGTAAAAATGATGTTCCATGAAAAATGTGGCTGGTTTAGCTCACAGTGCAACCATCAGTTGCACAGTTTGATTTTCAAGACAACCATGGGACTTTGGTAAGCTGCAGAAATGCTTTATGCGTTCTTACAATTTCATCACAAATTTCTTATTCAGACATACCCAAAACTCATTTGTTCTTATAACTAGCTTACATTAGATGTACGTAGAATCTTTTGGAAATAAATCATGTTTTAGCCTGAATTACATCTTGGGGCAAATTTTTTCTTTCTTTCTTTTTTGGTGAGGAAGATTAGGCCTGAGCTAACATCTGTCACCAATCCACCTCTTTTTGCTGAGGAAGACTGGCCCTGGGCTAACATCCGTGCCCATCTTCCTCTACTTTATATGGGACGCCACCACAGCATGGCTTGACAAGCGGTACGTCAGTGCATGCCCGGGATCTGAACCTGTGAACCCCGGGCTGCTGAAGCCGAGCGTGCCACTTAACTGCTACACTGGGCCGGCCCCGGGGCAAATTCTTTTTATGACTAAAATATATGTTGTGTAAAAGAGCACTTTTTGTTGATCTTAAATAAATGTTTCAAATCTCTTCTGTTAACAAGTCCATATTAATCCTACCCATGTCAGCCTGTTTGGTAGACATCAATTATATTTTCCTGCCTATTCTGTCCAGAGACCTATTTTTGTCATGTGCCTTACCCCAGGCAGTCCTTCCATCATTTTGGTTTCTCTTCATTTGTCTCCTTCACCTGCGACCCTCCGGCTGGCTGTCCCTCCCTCCCTCCCTCCTCTCTCTCTTTCTCTTTCTCCCTCCCTCCCTCTCTTCCTGCTGAGCAGATAGTACCACACAGTTGTAGACAGTGTAATCTGTTTAGTTTTCAGTGATTTCTCATGTTGGTCAACAATTTTTTGGCTATTTGGGTCTTAATCTGCAATGAGTTCCACCAACTCAAAGCTCATTATTTTAAGAATAATTTGAAACATTTTCCTTGAAATGTCTAATTCATGCAGGAAACACAGGAATAGTCTTCATATTCTAAACTTCAGTACAAATGGAACTTGGTCTGCAGACCCTCACCCCCACCCCCTGATGTCTGTGGATAGGTTGCCCTAGCCCATCCAGTAGAGGCAGGAGCCATGAATTGTTTCTCGTTCTATTTCTCGTTCATGATTGCAGAAAGATGAGTGTAGTTTCCCTCCAAGATCTTGTCCTGGCAGGATTGAAAATGGAATTCCTTTTAGCGTGAAGCTGTTTCCAATGTAACTTCCAACACAACATAGTCATGTTCCTGCTATAGTATCAAAGGAGTAGATGAGCTGATTTACAGATTCATTCAGCAAACACTAACAGGGCACCGCAGATAGGCTAGACGTTTGAAGCATGGAAGATAGAGAGATGACTAAGACGGTTTCTTCTCTCATACTACGATGGGATGAGCACCATGAAAGAGCTGTAGCCAGTCCTTGGAAAGCGTGCAGTGGGGAGTGAGGGCTGGTTAAGGGTTTGCAGAGGAGGTAGTGATAGGACTGGGCCATTGAGGATGGATAGGATTTACCCGGACTGAGCAAAGAGATTCTAGTCAGAGGGAACATCAGGAGCAAAGATAGGTTCCAGGAAATAGGAGTATTTCCATCTGGCCGCCACTTAGGGCATGAGGTGGTAGATGGGTCAGATTGGGAAAAGTCTTGGGGCTCCCCTGCCCAGCCTTGTCTTCTGGTGCTCGAGGTTCCCAAAATTCCTGGTAGGGAGAAACGGGTCTTGGGTCACACAGCTTTATCAAAGCTGTCTATGATTAAGAAGGAAGTTGATGGGCCTATAATCAGTGGGGTGAAATCACCGGGAAGGTTGCACAACTCCCCTGCGAGTGGGGATTTCACTGTCCGTTTGACTCACCAGAGGCCCTTACCTTTCCTAGACACACTGACAGGCTGTTTTATTCTTTGAGTAGAGGTGGAATCTTGTTGGGCCACTTTGGTCTGAATTCCTATGGGCCCTTTGAAGAATTACTTGGCCAAGTGCTTTGTTTTTTGGGCCTCCGAGGAGTTTGTGTTCTGCTGGGACTGGTGGAGTTGGTGATGGGATGGTCAGGGTGTAGGGGGGTCTCTGTGTAAGTATATGTGTTGTGGGAGAGGGTGACTTAGTTAGATCTTTGCTCACAGCCCCCTGACGTTTTGGCTGGGTTTCTTTCAGCTACCTCAGAAGGTGGCTAGTCGCACTGCAGCTTTCATATTGCAACCCTTTATCCTCCTGGCCCTGGTGGGTGAGCCTGGTTGTGTTCTTTTTGAGCTGTTACAGTCTGCTTTGTGTTTCGAAGATCCTTTTGTTTTTTTTCCTCAACAAGTGCTCTGATCTACACAGCCCTTTTCAGGGGTTCTTTTGATTTGGACCACGGTGGTGGGCATTTCTTTCCTTTAGGCTTCCTTACTGGCCATGTGTCCCATGCTAAAATTTTTATCCTGTAAGATGCAGGAAACATCAGAAGTTTTGAAAAGGGGAATGATCCATCTTTTGTTTTAGAGCGATTCTTCTAGCATGGAGGACGGGTTATCGAGGGCAGAACCAGTGGCAGGGAGACCAGGTGGGAAGTTACTTTAGTAGCTCAGGAAGTAAAAGATTAGAACCTGACAAGGTCATAGTTGGATCAGGGCAGAGGGGAGAGGATGTGAACAGTGGAATTGAAGGAAAGGGAGAAGCTTTAAGACAGTGTTCATGTTTTAGCTTAGGCAACCAGGCTGCTGGTAATAGGGAATATAGAAAGGCACATGCTGTGAGGGGGTTATTTTGGTTTTAGAGAAATTGAGTT